GTGCATGAGGATCATTTGTTTTCGGCTGCTGGCGGGCATTTCCCGGCACACACGTGTCGATTCCGATGGGCTGCCTACGCCTGCGAGAAACCTGCCTTACATATAAATACCGAGGTTTGAAAAAAATTCAGAGGATTGAGCCCTGGCCGGTGTGGCTCAGTGGATAGAGCGTGGGCCTGGGGACTGAAGGGTCCCGGGTTTGACTGAGGCCAAGGGTACACTGCCACTAGGAGGCGTGCAGGAGGCAGCCGATCCGTGATTCTCTCTCATCGTGGATGTTTCTATCTCTCTCTCCTCTTCCTTCCTCTCTGATAGGAATAAGAATATATTTAAAACCTACATAAAAGGGTGGAGAATGCGATGTGACCTAACTACTAATTCAAGGACAGATAAGAAAGCCTATTTTTTTAAAAAAATACATACATAGCCAAAACTGATTTGGTTCAATGGATAGTCAGCCTGCAGACTGAAGGGTCCCGGGTTCGATTCTGGTCAGGGCATGTACATTGGTTGCGGGTACATCCCCAGTGGGGGGTGTGCAAGAGGCAGCTGGTCAATGTTTCTCTCTCATCAATGTTTCTAGCTCTCTCTCTCTCTCCCTTCCTCTCTGTAAAAAAATCAATAAAACAGTGAAAATAAACTCACTATTAAAAAATAATAATAAAATAAAATAAAATAAAAAAATATATACTTATTTTATTGCTTTCAGAGAGGAAGAAAGAAGGACATATTGAAACATCCATGATGAGCCGAAACCAGTTTGGCTCAGTGGATAGAGCGTCGGCCTGCGGACTGAAAGGTTCCGGGTTCGATTCCCGGTCAAGGGCATGGACCTTGGTTGCGGGCACATCCCCAGGTGGGGGGCGTGCAGGAGGCAGCGGATGGATGATTCTCTCTCATCGATGTTTCTAACGCACTAACCCTCTTTCTTTCTCTCTGTAAAAAATCAATAAAATTTAAAAAAAAATTATTAAAAAAAAAAAAAAGAAACATCCATGATGAGAATCATGGGCCAGCTGCCTCCTGCACGCCCCCTACTGGGTATGGAACCTGCAACCCGGACCTGTGCCCTTGACCGGGAATCGAACCCGGGACCCTTCAGTCTGCAGGCTGACGCACTACCCACTGAGCCACACCAGCCAGGGCCAGGGGTAGCCTATCAAAGAGAGACGGGTGAGCTTTAGGATAATGAAGGCCTGTCATCCATCAGTCGGGACATTTCATACATGGCAAGCAGGCCGATTGCACAAGACAGGGCCCATGCAAACATGCATACATCATGCCACAGAGGGTGGAAACACACACACACACACACACACACACACACACACGGAAAAACCTAGCTACCCTGTTCCCCCGAAAATAAGTGTCTTCTATTCATGTTTTTTGCTCCCAAAGATGCGCTAGGTCTTGTGTTCAGGGGATGTGTCTCATTTTTTTTTTTCCATGAAGAAGATTACGGTGCACACGTATGGTTCAATGGACATAAAGGACACGGATTCCCTGTAGATGGTATGGCAGGACGGTAGTTGTCCGCACACACACACCAGACACACGGTGAATCCTGCAGGATCGAGAATGGACTCATGGATCCCATGACCATCGTGTCATCGTCGTCTTCTGGAACATCATCCTCACCATCCCCTTCCTGGATTTCCCGGTGAATGTCTTGTGGCTCCGTTTCTCTCAGAATCCGTGGACCAAACCTCTCATGGTTAGCCTGGGGGGGGGGGGTTATTTTCGGGGTGGGGGGGTGCCTTCTATGTCACTCAGAAGGAAAGCTGTACGTAGGTCTTACTTTCAGAGGATGTCTGATTTTCGGGGAAACACGGCAGCAAGACTGAAGGGGAGCTCTCGCAGACACGCGTTTCAGATGCCGACCTCTCGCTCACGATTGGAGAAGGAAGCAGAGAACAGGGCCGGCTTCAAAGACAGCCTTCAGGCCTCTGATCTGAACCCACATTTGTTTGTTCGAAGACCTGCCCCACAGCAGCCGAATACAGATGACCCTCAGGCCCCCGTGGGACGGTCCAGGAGACGCACCCGGAATCCTCAGGCAGGGGGCCGTGCTGGGACTCTTTAAAAGCTCAGAAATCATAGCCAAAGCCAGTGTGGCTCAGTGGATAGAGCGTCGGCCTGAAAGGTCCCGGGTTCGATTCCCGGTCAAGGGCATGGGCCTTGGTTGCAGGCACATCCCCAGTATGGGGTGTGCGGATGGATGCTTCTCTCTCATCGATGTTTCTAACTCTCCGTCCCTCTCCCTTCCTCTCTGTAAAAACTCAATAAAAGATTTTTTTTTTTTTTAAATGGGAATCATACAGCATGGGTACCCGATCAGAACAGAACTAAGAAGGACACACACGACAGAGAGGAATCTGGAAATTCACAAATAACCGGGTTTTAAACAACACACTTGGGTGTAAGGCGGTGGGGGGGGGGGTCGGGGGGGAGATGGAGCCGCAAGGGGACATAGGACTTTTCGGGAGGGATCAGAGCTGGA